ACATTGTCCAAAATTGATGTACCAAAAGCTACCCCAAGCGGCGCGGCGCTACGCGCCGCGGTTTTTTATTCACACGCGAAAAACGCGACAGGGTGGTAACATATGCCCCCCCCCCCCACTGGGGCGAAGGTTAAGCTGTCAATGTCTCTGCTTTTTTGTAAAGTGTCTGTAATTTAACCATGTTTGAAGTGTACGATGAATATATATCCTGTCAAATTTGTCGACGGAAACCAAATTTCATTGACCTCGGGGTCACCGATGACGTCACAGGTCAGGTCAAAGATGAAATGTTTCACGGTTCACGGGTCTGCTAGGGAATGCGCTATAACACCGAGGAAAACGCATTTTGTCGATAATCAGCGATAGGGCGTCAGTTGCCTAGTAGATATGTTGTTATTAGAGGTCACTGACAATACCAGGTCAGGTCACAGGTCAGGTCACCAAGGGTCACAGGTCAGGTCACATGAGCCCCACTTTACTAAGGTTGTGTGATGCATGTTTTATGGCCAATTTTTCATTTCCAACTCAATGGTGTTGGTTATAAGACTATCAGGTACGGCTTAGGTCACTTTCTGGTGAAGTTCAGGTCAAGGTCAGGTCAAGGTCAGGCCAAAAAAGGTCAAATTTTTAAGTTGATAGTTTTGCATAAAATGGATATTGATTCGATGCAGCTCGTCACGGGGAGTCTAATGGTGGTCTTTGTTTTGCGCTACGGGGTCTAGAATTGCTAAAAAATTGAGTTTGAAAATTTGACGTCATCAATTTTGAAGTTTTTTCGCTATAACTTCGCCAAAAAAGAGGTATCAATCTCAAATTTGGTATGTGGATGGAAGGCGGTAAGGACTATCACATATATTCCGGTTTTTGCGAAATTCAAAAAACTTTTTGGATTTTTAGATTATTATATCCAAAAAATTCATTTTTTGATTTTTGGGGGTCCAAATCCATAAATTTCAAAAATACGAGATAGCAGTTTTGTAGCCCTGTTGATTTTACAGCTTTTATGTCTTTATCATTTTTATGTATTCGCAAAGCTATAGGCCTGACAAGTGACAGCTTTTCCCGCGAAACTCTTTTTTGGGTCGAAAACGGCAGAACATGACGTCACTCTGACGTCATTTCCGGCCAACCTATCATAGCCTTTGGAAAAATTTTTGGTCACAATGTGTAAAATTGATGTCCGGGAGGGTACTGAAAGTTTGGTGACGATCGGCGCAGTGGTTCTGGAGATATATTGAAAAGTCTGGAGGGGGGACAAAAAATAGCCCCCCCCCACCAGGTCGCGGGATAAGAGAGCTACGGAAACAAAAGCGATACCAAACGAAAGGTCTTTACGAGACGATTCTAAAGGCAAGCACCTAAAATTTTTGACCTCAAGTCAATATTCAAGGTCAGAGGTCAAGGTCAAAGGCAAAAACCGTCACATGTGTAGTGATCTCAAAGTAAGTCTTCTAGAGGACGGCAGGCTGCATCAAACCGGCAAAATTGGGCGTCAAACGAAAGGAGAGAATCTGAGGACTCAAAAAATGTGCTTAAAATTAAAGGTCAAGGTCAAGATCACGCTCAAAATTGACCTCCAACTTGGCACTTTTTCGCACATCATGCGTGCTAACTTCCAAGATGTTTTGAAATGTTTTGAGGCTAATCAGTTCCCTATTTGTGGTTCATCTTACGATACAAGGCTACTCAAAGGTCAAGGTCACATGACAGAAGAGTATCCCTGCTAGAGGCTATTTCACTGATTCAAGTTAGCAATAATAAATAAGACAATTTTGCCACCCGGAAGCTCTAAATGAATGCTTAGAGGAAAATAGATGCCAGATTCGTGATCAGCGGGTACAAATCCATCATAAATGACCTTTCATGTGTCAAGGTCAACCAGAGGTAATTCGAGGTCACATGAGGTCAACATAAAACTTGACCTTTTACGAACAAAATATATATCATTCGACGCGGCTTGACAAGGCGAATGCGATGGTGCCACTGCCGTAGCTCTAGGACCATTTTTGTCGAAGTTATTTGCGAAAAACTAAAACCACATTTCGGGGTCGTTGACCTGACCTCTGACCTCAGGTCACCAAAACTATTTTTCTATTTTTCTCTAGGTCACTACCGTACTCGTCATTTGTCTTTATCTCTAAAACTCTATTCTTAGCAGCTATTTGAAGTTCGCGTATGTGACGCCGAAGTTTGCCGTGCAGGGGTCTAGAAAAATGGACCTTGTGACGTCATCAAGGAAGCTAGGTCAAAAATTTTTACTTCAGAAGATGTCAAATTGATGGGAGAAAAGGTACTGAAAGTTTCGCTTTCCTATCCCTAAGCGTTCGGAAGCTACCGCAAATATTCGCCAGGGGGGGCGAAGAACGCCCCCCCCCCGGGCCCGCGAGGGCTAAGGTAATTAGGTAAACACGATTTTTAACCAAGACAACCAGTACACACAGCTGCAAGGCCGACTTCTCACTCTGGCTTTCAATTTCTCTTTGTTTTTCTCTTTTCTCTTTTCAATTTCTCTGAGGCCAAATTTCAAAGTGTTATCGGGGGGGCCATGAAATGGGATGGTCCCCAGCAGCGGGCTGAAAACAGCGTCCCGCCTCTCATCGTGAGACGGCCCCAGGTGGCCACCGTTGAGTCCGTGACATTGAGGTCGCCATCGACTGCGACGGCTGGCAGTCGGCCCCTCAACTCCACACAGACAGGTAGGTGCAGGTCGCCACTCCTGAGCGCACGTCTGGCAACTCCACACAGACAGGTATACGATGCAGGCCGCGACTCCTGAGTCCTGACAGTATACTGCGGTTCATTGTTCTTCTGGTCTCAGGACTGCTTCACCAAGGCTCCGTTTAGGTTGGCAATAGGCATGCAACATTCAGTGAAGTGATGAATTCAGTTAAAAAAGAAAATGCTGCTTCTATGGCTATACGTGTGTTACCCAAGATTTTTCAGCAAAGCTGAGATGCCATTGCACAATCGAACTACGTTTTGCTGGAAAAATGGTTTGGACGAGTAAAGTCCCAGTTATAAATAATAGCAGTCTTTATCCTCTGAAATATTATTAGGCACACTTATTATGTCGACCCATAGTCATAAGGATGTCATAGGGCAGGTGAAGGTCCGTGGGGTTTTAGTGTTTTTAGTGTTTTAGTGGGTTTTAGTTTTGTTTTTCGTAAATAACTTCAACAGACAGATGTGGTCCTAGAGCTTGCACCGCAGTACCACACCTTCGTTCTCTCAAGACGCGTCGAATGACATCCATTATGTCTTGAAACGGTTGGAAAAAGTTTTATGCTGACCTCATGTGACCTCGAATGACCTCTAATTAACCTTGCCACATGATAAGTCTTATATGATGTATATATAGCCACTGGGCACTGATCATGCATCTGGCATTAACCCGCGCCGGCCGTTGGGCTCTACCACCCGTTGGGGGGAGGGGGGGGGGGGCGTTTCGGCCTTCCTCAGATCTCGGAAAAGTTACCGACCGATTTTGAAAATTCAAACGGCGTTCAATAGCGACACCAGGGAACTACCCTTTCACCAGGTTTCGTTGACCTATAGGTGCAGCCAATGACGTCAAAGGTCAGGTCATAGGTCACATTTTCACCGAGTACGGGCCTTCTAAGGAATGCGTCATAACGCCGAATTAAAGGCATGTTATCGAAAATTATCAGTGCAGCGTTGGTCGCCTAATATTGTATGCGCTTAGGAGGTCACTGATGCCAGGTCAGGTCACAGAGGTCAGGTCTTAAATCATAAATGGTCGCAATATGGACCCAACTATACTAGGGTTGTATGATACATGTTTTATGGCCAATTCGATCTACATTTCAAATTCAATGGTGTGGATTATACGACCAGTAAAGCCGGTTCAGGTTCTGTTCTGTGGAGGTCAGGTCAAGGTCAGGTAAAAAATGTCAAATTTCAAAGTTGATATTTTTCTGCATCAAAAGGGTGACTATTCTATGCAACTCATCACGCAGAATCCAATGGTGGTCTTCGTTTTACTCTGCAGTCTGCGTGGTCTACAACGGATACAAATTGAGTTTGATAATTTTACATAATACGGTTTTGAACCGAGCTGTTTCACCGACTTGGCAAAAATAGAGCTATAGTGTGCCTTACCTTGCCCATTACTGTAAAGGTACAGCTTTACATTCTGCATAGCTTCTTTATTTGTGGATTTAGACGCGGTTGGGGGGGGGAGAGAAATGCTTTCGAGGGTATCAGTGGTTGGAATTACTCCGGGCCCGACCCAATTTATGCATAATCCCTTGAAGCTAGCCTAAAATGCCTAAATCAAAATTCAAATAATATAAAAACCATAACCACCGCGATTCAAATATAAACCGCAGCATGTTATGATTATTGTTTTGTTTGTTTGTTTGTTTTTTTTTGTTGGGTTAGGCCCTTTCGGTCTGGCAAGACCATTTCAGAGCCGGGAGGATGATAGGATAAAGGTGGAGACATTGGTCTGGGCAGGCACCCTAGTGAGTCGCCGGGGCTGAGCCCGTCCAGAGGACAGGCCACCCAGCCCCAAGGCACTCATTGCACCCGGCTACGGGGCATGCGCTCCCTCGGGAGCAGCGGTGCCGCTCCAAGGGAGCAGCCCGCATGAGATAAAGTTGCCTGTCCAGCCCGGAGGGGAGTTGCGGCGTGGAGGAGAAGGATTTCTGTATCCTGAGGATAGAAGCACGGAACGGTTGGATAATTATTGCATCATACAACTATGTGAATCAATAATAATGGTATGCTATTCCGAAGGTGTAACAAGTCACTGACGAGTTTCAAAAGCAGAAAACATTATTGATATTCCTCCTCTTTTGCCACATAAAATAAACCGTACAAAAAATCCCACCTCATCCAATATCACACCCATCGGCCCCAACATTGACCTGCCGCCGCTGCACCGCACCGGTTCATTTAGTTGCACGCCACCCGTTGTCTGACCCACCGACTCTCACACGCGCGCGTCCCGGTCAACCGTAACCCGCACCGCTCAGTGCATCCCAACCAGCCCAGCGCCGCCCGCGCAGCACTGACCGGGGTCGTCCAGCAGCAGTCGGCTGGCTCGGCCGTCCCAAGTAGGCCGACTCCAACTCTCTCTCGGCGCGGCGCGACGGTCCAACAGGCCGCCTGACACCGGTCTCAGTTTGGTTTGTGGTGGCACTGGGCCAGCCGGGACCCTGAGCAGTGACGCAAGTGTGGTAGTGTAGAGTTGGTGAACGAGAGGAAGGGTTGGTGACGGTGGTGCTTTGTGAGAGTTGGTGATTGTAAGGATTGTAAGAAGCGGAGTTTTGAGCAGTATCAACCGTCTCCTGTGACATCAGGTAAATTGGATGAATATCTAACTTGCATCTATATAAAATTGCGTAAACAGACAGGGCAGTTAGATACAATGATTAAGACATACCATTTCTTTAATGCGAGCTTCTCCCATTTAGTCGAATGTTTGGCAGGAATTAGACCTGAGGTGTTGAATGAAATGCATGAATTTTGCGACTACCTGAGGTGAAATCTTCAGCACTTCTTGTTTCTTTTAGGAAGAAAATGAGTTCGAGTCCAAAACGTTCAGCGTTTTTATCTTATGGCATTGTGTCGACCTGGCACCGACTGTTACAATTATGTGCGACATTGCATTGTCATAACCCGTGGAGTCGCGCAGCTCTAGCTTCGCCTACCGGCTCTCCAATTTCAATCTAATCCGTTAGGCTCAGTGGATTCCTTTCACTTCCTGTCATATGTGCACGCCTGGCCAGGGCGGTAGCGACTTCGTGTGTCACGTGTGCAGCAGCGCGTCGGTCCGAGGTCGGGTGCGTAGTTATCAGCGATCAGCACCGATCCCGTTTCCGCACCAGCACCGTGTTTGACTACGTAAATTTGAACGTTTTATTCAGCCTCGTAAGGATCTTGTCCATATAATCTGTCCAGTGGAGCATCTCACAAGCCAGGAGCTCAAAGTAACGCAGAGGAAAGTATAGATCATTCGACAAAAAATGATCTTGTAGAAGTTTGCACCTACATAGGTCGGATAAATTAAAATAAATGTCAAACTGATAACTTAATTTGATAATAAAGATAAAAACTGACTGCCCGTTTCGTGAAATCGAAACTTGAATTATTGTAATTTCCTTTTAGGTACGTAAGTTGAACTAATCACTGCATAATTGCGGTCACAGAGTACGGCTACGGAAACCTATATACCCACAATCTTATGCAAAGTACCTACGTACTATGTTATACATAACACGGCTAGGATGTCTCAAGGGACTATGCGTGTCGTCTGTTTCACGTCTTACCGTGTCAACTCAACACGGACCTGAACCGTATGCGTATTCGCGCCGCCAATAACATTGGAGTTCAGCGTACCTTCTCGGACAACTGCGCCGTATTCGTACGCATGACCGTCTGGCCGAAGACGGGAGTTGTAACACAAACTATAATATGTCGATTTGGTTCGGTATGAGTCAGCTCTCGTGACCGAGATCCCTCGGCAGAGACCGGACATCCTCTGGTCGCTGTGTCGCGTGGTTTTGTCGAGTCATTTCCTCGACAGCTGTGTGGAATAGCTAGTCATCGCGCTACGAAATAAGAAACACGTTGAATGTGGTTCTGCGACACCTGAGCGAACGTCATTTCAGCGAACGACATTTGAGCGAAACATTTTCAGCGATGATCAATTTAAGCGATTGGCTTTTTCAGCGATTGTCAAGTCGGCGAATTCAATCACAGCGATTATCAACTTTAGCGAGGACCAGAATCAGCGAAACCAGATTGAGCGAACATATGGTGGTCAGTGGGAGACCAGTTGAGCGATGCAGTTACAGCGAATGACCGAACGCGACGAAAGTCAATCAGTTGCTACTTTTCCGAAATTATTGCATCTCTTTACGCATCATTGTAACGAAATTCGTTCCTACCCCATCCTCCACCTCCCTCTGTACCTACTTACTGCCCAGCCCCCTCGCCCACTTACAATATCCTTATATGGTCCTCACTCCTCACCTGCGACGCCTGTCCTTGCCCGCTTCTGATTGGTGCTATGATATGACGTACATCTGTATGTCTGACGTGTATATGTGACGTATGGGTGTGTGTGTCGTGAACTCGGCCGGTGCCGCGCGGTGGGGCACTTCGGTCTTTGAGTCGCAGCCGGGCACTTCTGTCTTTACTGCTCGGCGGATCAGTCTGTCTTCGGACCTTGGCAAAGTCAATTTGTTTGTTATCTTTTGTTTCTGTCGCCGTGAATTGAATACAGGCCCAACTTTGTATTTTACACTCTGTTTGTTATTAGAATCGGTTGGTTGAACGGCAAGAACAACTACGGTCCTACAAATCTAGACTATCACAAACAAGAATTTGCTTATTAATACTTGTATTCCGCTACAATCATTTGAATTTTGAAGAAACATATGTATATCGGACGACCAACAAGGGGTGCATGGGAGGGGAAGGAGGCGGGCAAAATTTGAATTGAAAATGTGGAACGTGAGAGATAGGGCTGATAGAGATGAGAGATGGGGGGGGGGGGTGTGAAATTGAACCGTTGGAATTTTTGACAAATGTAGCATTAAAATTGGAGCTCAATGCCTGACCTTTGAACGCGCGACATCCGCCATCCAGTACCGGATAACCATGAGAAATTCCGGAAACATTCGTACGCATACGCTCGCAAAAGAAAAAAAAAATCCACCGCTACAGGACGATGAAATGTTTCGCTGAACTGACAGTCGCTCAAATTGTAGTCGACTAAATATATGTCGCTGAAACATAGCTTTCGCTAAAATTGATAATCGCTATATTTGATAATCGATAAACTTGATAATCGCTGAATTGCCATTCGCTGAAAATGGTTCGCTCAAATGACGTTCGCTCAAATGACACTCGCTAAAGTCGCTCGCACCGGTTGAATGTTGATGCAAATTCGAAGCTCAGTTCGAGATATAAATCATAAACTAACACCCAGCCCAGGTAAATTGTTCAGCCAATCGAGGCGGTACGGTGAATAGAGGTTAGGGGAGATGGCGCTCAAACGGGCCGTTCAAGGCTATAGGTACTTACATAATACATATGCTGTCACCCCGTAGTCCGTCCAGCCGAGCAAAGCTTGTTGCTTGTTGAGGACATCTCAGAATAGCACGCTCATTTGAATCTACTGCCAACATCTACCTGCCGCTGACCCAGCTATTTCCCCGTTTATGTCTGTCTGAAGGATGCGGTTCTACCTGGCTCTTCTGGCGGCGGCGGCGGCGCTGGCGGCGGGCCGCATCGCCGACCCACCCAGCTACCGGCAGCTGCTCAGGAAGCTGGCCAGCAGTCCGGACATGCAACAGTACATGCGGGACGACCCGCGCTCAGCTGGCCAGCTGGACGTCGCACTGGATAACGATATGGACAAAACCACGGTGAGAAACGCCGATACGGGCGGATGGACAAAACCACGGTGGCCGTGGGAACTGGGAACCGCCAAGACGAACGGTTGGTGTGGACAAAACCACGGTGAGAATTGTCGATGTCTGTAGACATAATGGAGAAAACCACGATGGGACTTATGAGTCTCGATGATAAGGCCAACAATTGTTGGAACGGATTATCCAGACGGAACTAAATAATTCATACACTGACAGGTGAATAGTCCTGATTAGCGGATTTTATGATGATTGTCTCCAGTGAATAAGTTTGAAACCCATACATTTCTACGATTCACTTTCTTTCAGTTTGCTGTAGCAGCTTTTTCGGCAACTTTTTACCGTTTTATTACCTTTCTTATAATTTATTTTGCAGATATAGGTAGGATACGTGCATTTTGAATCATCTACCCAGCTGCGCTATATCATGCAGTAATCATGCTTTGCGATCTCTACTCAAAACAAAATCCGTTTGTAATGCAAGCTTCTTTACTCATCTCTATCTTTGGTTACTGATTACATAACACCGTCTTATTGGGACGAGCCTAATGTCCCAGACTCGACCGTGACCAGACACCTGCCGAGTTTCGCTGAGAACTGACACCTGCAGTGATATGGCCCGAGGGGCGCGACACGACGTAGGTATTTGTAAAGACTCGCGAGGGTGTGACATGGGTGTGTGGGTCACATGTCCCGGGGGCGGATACAAGGGGGGCTGGCCGGGGGTTCAGGGTACTGGGACAGGAGGCCGAGGAAGGGGCCGAGGAGTGGGGGGGGGGGGGGGGCGGACTGGGCGACTTATGATGGTCGCTGGTCACTGGTTAGGGAGTCGGGGCGGGGGTGGGGGAAGGGATAGCTCGCCTCGCCAGGGAGAGGGGTGGGGCTGCGTATGATGACGAGACGTTTGTCAAAGGACGTTTGGGGGCTGGGTAGGGCGTGAGCAGGGCGTAATGATAAGGGAAGGACGGGTGACCGGAGACGCGTGACCGAAGACGGGTGACCGGAGACGCGTGACCGAAGACGGGAAGATGAGGATTACGCAGCAGGGTGACCGGGGGGGGGGGGGCGGAGGGTCAACTAAACCTGCTTCGCTAGTGCTGACCAAGACAACTCGGACTGATTACTACATTGTGACACAGAGCTGACAGCCTCACAATGCTGACTCGTAATGGTAAACTGATGCTCTCTCAAGAACGCGGGGACATGCATAGTACGCGACGACGGTGTCCCAAATCCAGGGAGGTATTAGGGTAAGAAGACATATCGGCAGTCGGCACCTTACCAGCGAGGTGACCATTGACCCGCTGGTGTGACCGATCGATGTTGGACAGATATTGGTGCTTATTGGACATCAGACTGGTGACGAAGTGATTCCAAAACCACGACTAGCTTACGCTGACGACAGGTGGCTAAGACAAACTGAGAGGTAGGTTGAGGCTAACGAATCAGACGCTGTTTGACGCCACGGACGAACCAGACGCATTCTTGACCAACAACTCCGACACAAGATGCAGCTCGACCTTTGGCACAGCCAAGATTCTGGCATGCCCACCTGACGTGCTGACGTCACCTCCCTCGTTCTGACGTCACCGCTCTGCCGACATCAGCTGGAGCTGATCCGTGAGAACGGCTACGTGGCCGAGCAGCATGACGTCACCACGGCCGACGGATACATCCTGTCTCTGCACCGGATCCCGTACGGACGGGACGGACCCGGCGAGGGACCCCGTACGCCCGTCCATCTCCAGCACGGCTTGCTCTCCGCCAGCTCCGACTGGATCATGCAGCCTCCCGAGAGGGCGCTGGGTATGGTCATATAGATGTCGCTGCAAACGTGATACTGGATGGCTCGTGTCGCTCCTGAGGGGTTTGCTGTGTGAAGCTTTATGGGCTGTTTTGTGACTGTGCTGTTGCTCGCATGATGTTACACCGACTGCCTGAGGTAGGCTGCTTAGTGATGTGTACGAGAGACTTATTGAGGGAAACATCTGGAGGTTGTAATAGCTTATGATCAGAGTCACAAGCATAGCCCATCTCCACTGGAGACTCTCCAGGCACTAGGTAGTGCCGTGCCAAGGTTGGAGAAGGGCCACTGCCAGTGGCCACAGAGGTCGCTACCTCTTACCATATTCAGATTGGAGAACTGCTGACAAGCGCGGTGTGGACTTTAGGTACTGCTTGTCTTTCTATCACATAAGTCAAGTCAGCTAAAAGCCTATTCAATGCAACACTGCATTGCACGAGTTACTTATTGCATCGGAATTTTTAACGGTCATCGTGCAACTGTCCAAAGCCCGGTCGCTTGACCTGACCGTCAATGATCAGCTCACTTGGTCGGTTGGAGCAAATGTCCCATAGTAAACCTAAAAAAAAAGGGAAATACGGTTGCCTACCTGCGCTATGGATGCATCTCATCGCTCGGTAAGGTCTAACCAACTGCTGCAACTGAATTGACTTGGAAAAAAACTACGATGAACTTAAGGATAATTTTTTTTTTCGGCGAACTTTCCTTTTTTCATTAGGTCCCGTTTTAGCCCCAGACAAAGCGTTCCTGACCTCTCAGTTATGTGCCCAATGGGAAAAAGCTTTCGTCTTTGTCACCAGCCAGCAGCGGTGCGTGCCTTTGGTTTTTGTTGTTTGAAATACCGTCTATCGTTTTTGTCGTGTGTGCTTGTGCAACCAAAGGGTCTTGTTACCGTTCATCGGTGTCTCGTGCCAGCCGTGAGTCATAGCCCGCGCCCCGTAGGGGGGGGGGGGCCGAAACGGCCCCCCCTGTCCTTTTCGGTCGATATCTCCCAAACCGCTTCAGATATCGCCACCAAACTTTCAGGACCCCTCCGGGCATCAATTTTACACATTGTGACCAAAAATTTTTCCAGAGGCTATGATAGGTTGGCCACAAATGACGTCAGAATGACGTCATGTTCTGTCATTTTCGACCGAAAAAAGACCTTCGCGAGAAGACCTGTCAGGCCTACAGCTTTGAAGATACAGAAAAATGATCAAGACATAAAAGGTGTAGAATTGACAGGGCTACAAAACTGCTATCTCGGATTTTTGAAATTTTTGAGTTTTGAACCCCAAAAATCAAAAAAACATTTTTTTTGGATATATTAGCCAAAAAATCCAAAAAGTTTTTTGAGTTTCAAAAAAAACCGGAATATATGTGATAGTACCTATCGTCTTCTATCTACATACCGAATTTCAGATCGATACCTCGTTTTTTGGCCAAGTTATAGCGAAAAAACTGTTCAAAATTGATGACGTCAAATTTTCAAACTCAATTTTTGGCAGTTCTAGACCTCGTAGAGCAAAACAAAGACCACCATTAGACTCCCCGTGACGAGCTGCATCGAATCGATACCCATTTTATGCAAAAATATCAAATTTGAAATTTGACCTTATTTGACCTGACCTTGACCTGACCTTCACCAAAACGTGACCTAGGCTGGCCCCAAAGGCTGCCTAACCCACATAATCGCATTTGTCATGTAAAATGGACCATAAATCATGTATCACACGACACTTTCATATTGTGACCCCGGTGACCTGACCTCGCTGTGACCTGACCTGGTATCAGTGACCTCAGATAGCAAAGTATGTGTTTGACGAACAATGTACCATCGATGGTTTTCAATAAATTACCAATTAACTCGATTTCACAACACATTTCTTGAAATGCCTGTGAACGGTGAAAATCTGACCTTTGACCTGACCTGTGACGTCATCGGTTTGACCTAGGTCAATGAAATTTGGTCACAAGGTAGTTCCCGGGTGGGGCTATCGAACGCCGTTTGAATTTTGAAAATCGGCCGGTAACTTTCCGAGATCTTAGGGGGGGGGGGGCCGAAACGGCCCCCCCCCTACGGGTGGTAGGGTCCGCCGGTAGCCCTACGGGGCGCGGGATAGCCGCCAATTTCGAGGCGCTAGCTGACTGCTGCATATTTGGTGCTGTAGCTGAGTAAGCGCTGAATTCCCAAAACAGACATCTTACCTGACACTGATTAGTGACACGAACCGTATACCTGATTGACTTGACTGACCACTACTGACCAGTGACCAGTGATCTATTTCTGAGTGGTATACATGGTAGTTGGTTTATAGATAATATGTATGAATATAGCTTTTCCGTGAAATAATGACCGACTCATCACATGACTGGCCTTTTAGGTACTCGACTTTTCTCTGACCTTTGACCTAATGCTGACCTCTTATTTATGACTGGGGTCGGGTTCGAGACCAATCGCTTATTTGTGACCAATATCTAACCTCTGAAATCACCACCTGAACTGACTTCAGACTTTTGACTGATGCCTGTCCTCTGACCAATCCCATTTCCAAGTTAGGGCTTTCACTGACCTTTCAGATGACCTATGACCTCTGAACGACCTTTGTTCTCTGCCTGTCCTCTCTTTAACCCGCGCCCTGCTGGGGGTCCTGGATTTCCACGCCCTGCTGGGGGGGGGGTGTGTTTGAACACCCCCCCCCTTGTAACTCGGCTCCTGGGCCACGTAGCGATACGCGGAAGGCGGCGTTCGAAAGAGCGTAAAAAATAATGACGAAATTACTTCGGTCAATTTTTTGGTCAGGTCAAAGGTCAGGTCACCAGAGGTCATTGAAGGCAAAATTTCGCCGATTTCCAGGTCGAATGTCGAAAACTTCCAAGAAGCCAACGCATAACTCGGGAACCGATAGAGCTACAGCGCCGCGGAAAAGCGCATTCGATAGCCCTTTTAACGCCCTTTCTGAGTAATTCTCTCAGATTTGACCTAACGTCAACGGTTTTGCCTGCAGGGGGCAAAAACTGCAAAAATAGCCGATTTTTTCGAAAACAGTTTTTCTGCAATAACTTTTGACCCAAGCCTTGTACGAGCTTATTTTTACCAGCATCGTGTTCCTCTCGTCAAGACACATCGAATGAACTATAACTTGACCTTGAAAGGTCAACTTGAAAATTTGACCTCAGGTCAAGGTCATGACCTGACCGGGAAGGGTCATGTTGCATATCAGTCGATCCGTATCGTCGAGCTGAACACATCTAAGGCGTTTTCATCGCTCTAGCATGCCTCTATCAAAAGTTGTTTGCGAAAAACTGTTAGATACCATTCGTGACCTAAGATGACCTCAGGGCATAAACAAGGGTCACGGACACCATTTTCAAGTTCAGTGTGTCTAAACCACTTGTAATTCGGTGTTTGGGAGTGTTTATAATGTCTTTCCTCCAAAAGAGGCGCATTTCAATTTTCTCCCATTGACTTATAATGGGGAGGTCGCAAAATTGACCTGACCTTAGGTCATCGATATCAAAATTCTGAGATATACATTTTGTACATGCTATTGCTCTTAGCAATCGCTGAAAGTTTCAAAGCGATCGGTCACTCGGTGTAGCTATGACAGACATTGAAAGTTTTTATGAGGTGAGGTCACTTCAAGTGACCTGGTGACCTGACCTTGAATGACCTTGGTCTGAAATTTTCACAACATGTGTAGAATTGATGTATGATAAGGTGTACCAAAAACGGCGGCGCTCCGCGCCGCCGTTTTTGAGATATTCGCGAAAAACCACAAGGGGGGTGTTCAAACACCCCCCCCCAGGTGGGCGCGGGTTAACTTCTGACCTGTCACTGACTTCTGGCTGACCTCTAACCGACTTCTGACTGACCTCTGATCAGTTACTGACCGCTGAGTGTCTTTTGACCTATTGGCCTCTGACTGACCTCTTATTTGTTACCAATCTCTGATTACTGACCTCTGGCCATTACTGACCAATGACCATTGATATCTAACTGCTTAAGACGAGCAAATGACCTTTATCATCTCGCTGACCTTTGGCTGAATCTCTGACATGTGTTTGACCTGTGACCTATCACTGACCTGACTGACCTCTGAACGCTCACTGACCCGTGACCCGTGACCTCTGACTCCGACCAGCTGGACATGGCCCGCTCTCGGGGCTACGCTGCCGAGGAGCACATAGTGACTACTGCGGACGGATACCTCCTAGGAGTTCACCGCCTTCCGGGCCGAGGCGCCCCCGTTCTCCTCCAGCACGGCCTGATGGACAGCTCGGCCGCCTGGCTGCTGAACCCGCACCGACCGCTAGGTGACGTCACTGGAGCAATTGTAATGACATCACTGGATTGAACAGTGGCTATCAGTGACAACCTAACCTAACAAGAGACACAACATGGTGGCTAATAGTGGCGATCCTGGTGGTGGCGATTGGCGAAGAAGTTGACGCTGTTGCACTTGGTCTAGGGTGACTGCCCTGGCTTGTGGCTTCAGCGTTCGGTCCCTTATACCGAGACGTGCATGATAATGGCTTTGATTGGACTAACGCATAATGTCCCGCTTTCCGCTAAAACCAGTAAAACGCCTTTTGGGCGAAGAACGAGCGAGCGAGATAGTGAGCCATGCACGTGCGGAAGGGCGAGAGGGTACTTCCAACGGGCTCGTGCAAAGCACCCTTCTAACCGGTCGCTAGCGGTGTGCCAAATTTGAATGCAATCGGCCCAGCCGTTCCTGAGATCTGGAAGCGGCATTCTGCACGTGCGCACGTGCAAATGGGGTCCAAAATGACTTTTGCACGGCACCCTACTAACCGGTCCCCAACCGTGTACCAAATTTGAGCGCAATCGGTCCAGCCGTTCTCGAGATCTGGAAACGCCCCCTGCACGTGCGCACGTGCAGTAGCACCCTAACCGCAACACATGGGAATGCATTGCTTGGTGGGTGCCTACCTGTATGCCAAGTTTCAGCGAAATCGCCCCAGTAATTACCGAGTTGTTAAAATGGGAACAAATTTTAGACCTCTTATTGTTGTATTTTGCACGTGCACTGGGGGTGACCCACATGCATCGAGAGTATCCTATTTTTGGTAGAAGGGATGCTGCTACCCTACAAAAATTACCGCAAGTCAATCGCCCAAGCGGCTGCTGAGATATGAGCCTGTCAAAATCACTACTTTTGCAAAACAGCTTGAACACCCTTGACTTTTCACGTGGCACGTGCCACGACGGTCACTGAGATGTATCAAAAGTAGTCTGTTACGGGGTAGAAGGGATGGGGCTACCCAGCAAAAAAGACCGCAGGCCAATCGGTCCAGCGGTTGCTGAGATATAAGCCTCTCAAAAGCGTTACAGGCCGGGCCGGGCCGCTCATACTGAGATTTTTCCGTTAGGTATATTGAAAAGACTCGCTTCGCTCGCTGCGCTCGCTCGCTCGTAATAACGTTGAATTGAATGAAAAGGCAATGGACGTGCAATCTATAGAGGAACTTCACAATTCAGGCTTGCTTAGAATATTGCCCTTTTGTATGGGCAGATGTCATGAAGAATTTCGTTTTTTAACGATGGCTCTGCTAATTAGATAAAAAAAATCTAGGCAATTCAAATAGTACCTATTGTTTGATATGGAAAATTAGGCTAAACCTTTCCTTTCTTTCTTCATAGCCTGCATAAGGAATGACTTGCAATAAACTAAAAAGTAAACATTTGCTCATCGATTGCGAGGTGAGCTGACGGCTGCTACGTTTTTTTTTTTACCTGCAGCGTACATGCTGGCGGACCGCGGCTACGACGTGTGGCTGGGAAACGCCCGCGGTAACACGTACTCGCGGTCGCACGTCAACATTACTGCCGACGACCCCGAGTTCTGGAAATTCACGTACGCTGCGCGGTTAATTACTTATTCAACTGCGTTTGTTATTGTCTCTCATATTGAATTGTTGTCGTCAAGATTCTTATAGATAGCTGTGGTACTGTTTTTATCGGAGCGTAATGAAATTAACACTAACTGTAACTGTAAACTGTGGCTAGTGAACAATGCCAAACATTATACCATGCATCGTTTTAGAGTGAGGTGTAGTTGTATAATAATTTTGGTCGATCTAGCCTGTGAATTTCGGTAGGATGGAAGCGAATAAAATAGCAAGTTTTCTGAGGTCGCTATAAAGTAAAGTGTGTGATATTTCCAACATCCGAGGGTACGTAGATGTCTCGACAAACCGAGCCTGCATCGACACTGGTGTGTGTTTCAGGTGGGACCAGATGGGTCAGTACGACTCCCCTGCTATGATTGACTACATCCTGGAGACGACCGGTCAGCAGCAGATCTTCTGGGTCGGCCACTCCATGGGTGAGTCGCCTATCTAGTCGGCGGAGTCCGAAACCCAGCCTCCCATCGCCAGTCACTCAGTCTCGAGAGCTCTGTTTTGTATTTTTGGAACGATCTAATGGCTTTTGGGGTTTATCGTAAACTGGATAAGTAATGCAAATACATATAGTGAACACTTCACCCGATTGCAGTCTTATCAAACTTGTCGGTGCTTCACTTTTGAAGCATACGAGCATCCTTCCGATGACGCATATCCTAAGATAAAATGAATGCTATTATATCCTGCACGACGGTAGTTTCTATTTTGAAATCAGTACCCAGTGACGACATATTCTGGGTGGCAATCATCCGATTCAATATCTAGACAGACTTGACAGAACCAAGCTCGACGTTTGACGTCTCTCTCTCTCTCTCTCTCTCTCTCTCTCTCTCTCTCTCTCTCTCTCTCTCTCTCTCTCTCTCTCTCTCTCTCTCTCTCTCTCTCTCTCTCTCTCTCTCTCTCTCTCTCTCTCTCTCTCTCTCTCTCTCTCTCTCTCTCTCTCTCTCTCTCTCTCTCTCTCTCTCTCTCTCTCTCTCTCTCTCTCTATCTCTCTCTCCACCCAGGAACGACCATGTTCTGGGTGATGATGAACGACCATCCCGAGTACAACGACAAGGTGGCGCTGATGCAGGGTCTGGGCCCGGTGGCCCGTGTTGACCACATGCACTCGGTTATCAGGATCTTCGCGCCGTACGCCAACGAAGTCGAGGTATGCCAAAAAGATAGAGTGCTTCTTATCCCGGTCGTTAAGTTGTTAGGGCGGTCGTTAAAAATTGTTCACTGGTCTTCGGTCATCGGTAATAGATCACTGTCAAAAGATAACCAGCGTGACAAGTCATTGGTACGACTGGTTGGTTGTGCCAGGTCGCATACTGTGTTCGTGATTGTCATAGATAAAACGCTGATCGCTTTACTTGGAGCCCATAGATGTGGTTGCAACTGCGTGGTATTTTCCTATTCGTGTCAGCTGATGCATAGCACAGATTCACTGCGTGTGATAAATACTCCGGCAGTGTTCCAGCAAAGTTATGTAACTTGTGGCCTAGTTCACGAGCCTTAGGTGTGTAATTATTTTTATTTTGCATTCTTTCGGTCACGAAATTATGCATGTGGCACCACAATTAGCCATCACAAGTTGATTTTACGTGACTGGTACTTAGCCGCCCAGTTTTTTCTTTCACAGGTCCGTGTGGTTGGTAGAACACTGACGTGTTTTGCCACTTTGCCTACCATTGTGATAACCTGCTTTCCTCTGCGCATCAATAGTCCGACGGCGCTTTATCCTCCTTCTACCACTCGAGACCCAACTTTCCTCCCTTCCCGACTACGGCTCGACATGTGTGCATCGTTTTCAGCTACTCTTCAAGTGGTTCGGAGAGAACGAATTTCTGCCGGCGGGTAGTCACTGGATGCGGATTGTGCAGAAATATTTCTGTGATCGCGATCACGTGGAGGAGGAGTTATGTCGTAACGCCCTGTTCGCCATCGCTGGCTACGACTCGAAACAGTTCAACTTAGTGAGTGAGGTCGCATCATATGTCGGCATGCGGTGCAATGACTGCTCTATTCTTGCTGTCGGCATACGATCTATCGGCATGAGACGCACTAACTTCAAACTTGTATGATACGCACTAACCAGACGTTTATAGATGCATGAAAGCTGAACGCTCGTTCTTCCAACAATGGAGGCTCTCTGCTTCAGACGACGCAACAATGATCTGCACGCGGAAAAAGACTGCAGACAGTGCTTGAAATGTTAATGCAACATGGATCCTCGATTGCAGAATTTTGAGGAAAATTCATGACTTAAAAACTAACGGAGTTGCCATAGTAGTCTGCTGTACAAATACTTTCAACGCTCGATTTAGCAACATCGAACGTTATTCATCATCTATCACGCTTGTTCATCAAGCTATCAAGTTATCTATCACGCCTGCTTTATGGTTGCAACGCCTGCTGAAAGAAATGAAGAAGTGATTTTTGCCCGCCCCCAAAGATGAAATGGAGCGCGATAGATAAATAAGCTAAAAAAAGAACAGTCTGGTTTTAACGGCGTGAAATGCAACTCAAAACACAGTGACCATGATATGAGAACTGCCTGCGCCGGTTCGTCCAGCGTCTCCCATACAAAGCGCACATATTGGGATGCCACTATAGACACGATTATTGCTTCACATTGCTTTGTGCTGTCAGGTTTGAATCATCATTTATATGCACTTTTACCACTTTTTGTAGAAAGGTTACCCACACCTTTTTTACAGTACATGCACCAGTTCCCAGACTGCCGATTCCTAAATTCCTCGCACCCACGTGTCACATCCAGTGTGACGGCATTCCCTATACGGTGTAGCTATACAGGCGTTCCCGACTGCAAGGTAGACTGTATCGCAATGCACGGGCTGCCGTGTGGGCTGCGCCGACTGCCGCAGCGTGCAGCGTTGTTGGACTGCGGTCTAAGACCCCATGGTGCGTGGGCGGTCAGGGTGCGGTGAATATGGCGCGTAACCTGTGGGTTTTGCGAGGTCTAATTTTTCCTGATAACGTTCGATGTGACAGGCAAGCGCCGTGCTTGTTATTTCATTGGCTGGAATCTTATGCAAGTGGAGCATGAGCCATGAAATATCATCCTAGTCGCATTACGAGCAATAGCAGCAAGCTTGTTGAACATCTATGTTTATAAATGCAGATGAGCATGGATAGGCGAATCCTGCATGGCGAGGTGAATCGCCCAAAGGGTGTTATAAATGAGCATGACCGTAGTTAGAAGAACGACCTCAGGCTGTCTCTAAATGCTAACCTACTCACCATTTTCAGCTCCAGACTCATCACGGGATATAGGAAGAAGAAGAGAATAGCCTTCGCATCCTAACCGCATGCCTGCATGGCCCACTACCGTACCATTAACCGAAACACCGCATGTTAGTCGCCACGCTTAACCGCATGCCTGCTCACTGTAGCTACTCACCGCATGTGTCTTCAGGCCCTGGCCGAGTTGATGGGCTTGAACGAGTTCTTGCCGAGCGATGAGCTGATGACCCTGCTGGCCGAGATGGTGTGCGAGCCCTGGGAGGCCACGTCCGAGATCTGTGACGAAATTCTCTTCCTGCTCTGTGGCTATGACCCGGAACAGCTCAACCAGGTATTGCTGTGATGCAAAAACCACACGAGTGGAAGTAAGCCTCTCGTATCAGAGCTTCAGAGCTCTGACATTCTCGTGTCAGAGCCTATTAATTTCTTCGAAATAAATCATTTAAGGTGAAATCATTTACACACAAAAAGATGATGAAGTGCGTACTGCTGCCCTTTTAAAGTGTATATCAGTGCTCGAGTCCATTAATCCGTTCTTTCCTCGGCAAGCGTCAAGCACATGACCCTTCTAACGTACTCATGAACTGGTTTCGGATGTCATCGCTGCATAAAAGCATGCAATATTGTTCTATAGCAGCTTGGAATAGTTGTATGCCATTCGATTTTTTTTGTTTACGGAACTTGACATATTCGATGGTTTTCTGCCTTTAAACGCTATCATGTTAATGATTTAAATCAGAGTCAGCAGTAATAGTTGATAATCATTTATAGTAGATTCGTAATTAACTAGTTAATTCTTTGTTCGCTTTTTGCTTATAAATAATAAACCCCAATATTTAATAATGCTCCTATACTGTTCCCAAACATAAAATCGTCTAATTTATCTGCAGACGGCGCTGCCGATCATCCTGGCCCACACGCCGGCCGGTGCCTCCACGCGCTCCGTGATTCACTACGCCCAGGAGATCAACGCCGGTGAGTCATGAATCACGACGAAAACCGACGGGATAATAGGTCGTGACCAATGTGTTTCAACCAATGCTGTTCATTCATCGCTTATGCAGCATCGAATATATCCCCGACTCGAACTTAAAATCATGTCCACAGACCACATTCATTGAATGATAGCATAACATTATGAAATTGCGATGGTAACAGAGGTTTATGGCATCCTTCCTCGCTAAAACCGGCAGCTGACGTTATGGGCTATGTTTTCAGAGAAGTTTTTGCACTTTGACTGGGGTAAGGAGGAGAACATTGCCCGCTACGGCCAGGCGACACCGCCAGAGTACGATCTCAGCTTCGTCACCTGTCCCGTGTCGCTCTTCTGGTCCGATAACGATCTGCTCGCCGACCCGGAGGTGAGACGGGCATTTTTGACGCTTGTTACCCCCATACCTGTCGTGTATCTGGTTTGTTATGCGGTGCGTTATTACTATGCATAGCAGGTGTTATGCCGTCCATAATACAACCCCGACACCTCTTAGAAAAATTTACGTTACTTAATGTTGTTTATTTCGCTAAGATTCTTCAGTTATGCATTGGGAAAATATTTAGTACAGCACATCCATTTTGTTCTTCTATGACAGGATGTGGCTTGGCTGGCTGAGGGTCTTCCCAACATCATTGAGAAGTACCGCGTCCCGCTGGCTGCCTTCAACCACTTGGACTACCTGTGGGCCATCGACGGCGACATCCTCGTCTACAACCACGTGATCGAGAACATCCAGAAGTTCGAGAACGCTCAGAAGCACTAGCTCTACTTCCATAAGTGGTTCCGACATCCCATTACGTGACAATAACACCAAGCTTGACGAAAGGGCATGCAGTATTTTGGTGAATGACATCAATAAAAGCTTAAGTTTGCCGTTCCTGTGAAGGTCTCCGGCGACTTTGGAGTTTTGTTCGTTTCGTTTTTATCTGACTGTGGTTCCTTGGAAAAGGAACAGTCAGAATGTAGGTACCTGGCCTCATAATATTTCGAAAAGAAGCATCTATTCAGCTTAGAAACCACAATGTAAGTTGGATTTGCTCTCTGAAGCTCTTGTTTCGTAATGACCGCAGTTCACCGCCGCGAATGCCTTGTGCCAGTAGCGTCAAGTGAACGCAAATATATTTATCTCGCGTCGTCGATGCCTTTGCAGCGCATGCTACTTTGCTCAGGGGGATGAAGTTGCTCATAGGCATTGGCTCGGATGCATAAGCTCTCACTGAACTAAGTAAATGAGTTAGGTTGAGTCGGTAGGGATCTTGAAAGTAATCCCTATTCCCTACCGTTCCCTACCTTGAAATAAAGTGTTCTTTATAAGGTCCGCGCCGCCGACGATCGGTCAGTCCGGACTGTCGGCAGTGACTGGAGTCGCTAGCGACTCACCGGGACGCCCCCAGTTCGAGAGCCATGCGGGGGTCAACCTCCGTCGAAGGTCGACAGCGGCAGGCAGCAGTCGCTGGCAGTAGCGGCGGAACACCTTCAATCAAGGGGGGGGGGGGGGGGCACTGCCGATTTTTGGTCCCATTCTTTCCATGCAACGCCCAGGGCTAGTGTTAAAATCCAAACTCAAAGGGGGGCACGGTGCCCCGGTGCCCTCCCCGTTCCGCCGCCTATGGTCGCTGGCGAGCAGACAGACTCGACTGTGACCGGCACGGAGAAGTTTACGGCGCCGGCTGAGTGTGCTGCAGAGGGTGCAGTTGGGGGTGTGGGAGATGGCCTCCACCGGCGTCCTCCACCGCCCTTCGGTATCCACAACCGGCATTTTCTGCCAGAGGGCCAGTCGCTCCACACCCCTCGCCGTCGCCACCACCACCTTCGGCCGCAGTCTGCGCGGCATGACAAGGTGACCTTTGACTCGAGCCTGTCGTCTACTTTGGTACCGGCCGTGTGCAAACCGAACAACCGAACACCAGGCGGCACCTATGATGACAGTTGACTGTCCAGGTTGTGCGTAAAGGCGACATCCAGTGAGGTAGGAAACGGTATAAGTTGTCAGTCAAAACTTGGTGGAAGCGTCGAGAAGAGTGACATTTATCAAATAGGAAATTAAGCCTTCGTCAGGAAAAAGGGAGGAAGCGGATGCTCCGATGAAGGGAGATAGATACCACCAGTGCCTCAACGGTTAACCCTCGCCGGACCTATTGGTTTTCTACATACGCGCCGGCCGAGGGGGGGGGGGGGTACGACCCCCCCTCGCCGTTTCGCCCCTGGTGGAGCTAGCGCGTCGCGGAAAAAACGAGCGTGTGCGCCGTTACGAGACGCAGAGATTGGTACCCGATTTTAAGGTCCTAGGTCAACCGGTGACCTCTGAGGTCAGGTCAAGTGCCCCAGGGTACGGTTCAGTTTTTGGTGAATAACTTCGCAAAAAACGGCCGCAGAGCGCCGATTTTGGCAGCATCGTGTTCGCCTCGCTCAGGCGCGTCGAATGATATACTTTTTGTCCGGGTCAGGTCAACTTGGGGTTTTGACCTCAGGTCAAGGTCAGGTCAGCACCCCCAGGTCACGAAGTTGGTCGAAAGAGGTCATGTCGCATATCATTCGATTCGGCAGGCCTTTCTGAGTCCATTGGTGGCTTTCCTGACTCGCTAGCTCAATTTGATCAAGAGTTATTGACGAAAAACTAATATGACCTTGATGACGTCATAAATGACGTCACGCCAGGTCAAAATTGCAAAAGTGACGCATCTAACCTTGCAAGGAGTGCATCAAATCACGATTCTGTGTGCTTGACATAGTTGGAGATCGTTCCCGGCGCCAGAATAGCAGTTTGAATTTTTCCCCATTGACTTATAATGGTGAGGTCACGAAAATGACCTGACCTCATATGACCTTTAGGAAAAATCCGAGATATACAAGTTGTGGGACTCATAATGGATACTAGATCCTGCAAGTTTCATTTCCCTGTGACATCTCCTCTGGCAGTGAGGGCGTTGCGAAGTTGCGACATCTGAAGACCGTGCAGAGGTTCACTTATGACGTCATAGGTCAGTGACCTGACCTGACCCAAAAATGCGGTTGGTGTCATAAGATCCGGCTTGGATCAAAGGTCAGGTATGTCAAGTTTCAGCTCTCTATCGCCAGCGTGTTCGGAGCTATCGCGAAAAAACCCTATGGGGGGGGGGGGCGGCACCCGCCCCCCCCCCCCCTCGGCCGGCGAGGGTTAAGGTTACTTGAGAGAAATGCTGGTGTGTGGTTTACCGACAAAAGGTTAGTGCCATATAAACATTACTCCTATTTTAGATAGGCACTGTTGGTCTAGTCTTGAGTTAAAACTAGAACCTCCTCCTACTTTAGAAGCTCGTGATTTCAAAACGAAAACAAAAACACTTGAATTGCTATTCTCTTTTGCCTCTGCAATGCTTCTTTGACACTAACTTCTTATTTGTTTCTAACTAGTTAGGTACCTGCTGGTGCAGCCACAGCGTTTTCTCTTACTGCCGAACGGCGCGAGAGCTAATTCGACCTGTATTTTGTGAACAGAGCATTGAGCGAGTGCTGCACCGTTCGAAATCCGTATGAGAGTTGTAGTGCATATTGTACGTTTAGTTAATGCCTGGTAAATGCAGGAAACCTGGAAGTCGCTAGTTGATACCATTAAAAAATCAAAAGGCTATGCAATACAACCTATTATTGCGCTTTGTCAGAGAGGACAGTGGCGCACCCGAGTCCCGACTCTGCCGTGCGCGTCACGCATGGCTCCGACTCCGACTGGAGCGCTTCGGATGTCACTGAGCATGAAACGTGACGGTTGATGAACTTGACAGCACTTGCTGTCATCCTGGCACATCTAAGTACACTTTCAACCTAGTTCCTGACTGGTGATTAATTCTGTCCTGAAACTAGGTCCTGTAGCTAGGTCCTGAATATAAGATATACTCGTACTCGTACAGTGAGGAAACTAAGAAACGCCAGCCTATATGTGAACTTTTGACACCACCGTGACGTTATTTCAAATAGGATCAACACCAAAAACTTGACATAACTACGGCTACCTATGCATTCAGGAATATGTGTGCGAAATTTCGCTTATCGATCTCTTCGCGTTGCGACGATATCGTCGGAGAAGTAAGGGGGCAACTAGCTGCCCCCCCCCTCCCCTTCCAGCGGCCGGCGGGTGGCGCGGAGGCCCACTGCGGCCACCGGAATAATAAACGTTATGGCTTAACAACGCTTTTATAATTAAGTGTGATACGCGATTACCTATTGACAAGTGCCATAGTTGGCTATAAATATCCTTAACACGCGCAGTGGAAGGGTTGCGAGTACTACGCCCAGTGGAAGGGGGGGGGGGGGCGGATGTCGCCCCCCCCCTAAGATCTCAGCTCCCACTGGAGCTAGAAAGATGAAATTTGGAGGGTAGGTGGAGGCCATGGAGAACTCTGTTGTGTGTGAATTTCATGACCCTAGGTCAATATCTTCAAGGTCAAATGAGGTCAAATATGGTCAAATCTGCCGTATTAGCGACTTTTTTGCGTTTACACGCCGATAACTCAAAAAGTTACCGGCCTATTTCCTTTTTTCTTCCACTATACGAAAGAACAAACATTTTTGAGTATGCATGGTGAATTTCTAGATAATCCAACAATAAATGTGGCAGTTAGAAGCCTGCTAAGGGTAAGATGTCGCCGGCTGAAGCGGGATCGGCCGACGCGGGAAACGCGGCAATCACAATTTTGTGTTTACACACTCATAACTCAAATTTTTACCGGCCGATTTTCAAAATTCTTTGACCATATGATTGCCTTTACATTTCTCAGTCTTCTCACCGAATTTGACGCGAATCTATTATAATCAGCGGTAAGGAGCGCGATGTAAAGACGGAGCCGTCCCGCCCCGGCACAGTCTACAATTCAGGCGGCGCGTAAGGCTAGCGCCGGCCGCCGCGCCGCCGCCCGCGCCGCCGCGGCGGCAGGATGTTTGACTTTACACCGCTATTACTAGAAAAGTTGTGAACCGATTTTCTTATTTCTTGCACGAGAAGATCCGCAATTCAATTCTAGACAGGTAGCCGAAATTTCACATTAATATTATGTTTGCGGCGCGAATTATTGGCGAAAAACAGGAGGGGTGGGCGAAATCCGCCCCCCCCCCCCTTCCACTGCGCGTGTTAATGAGGAATGATGGTGTCTCACAACAAATAATAGGGACAACACAAAACACTGTTATTCCGTTTACATTTTTCTTTACATTTGTTTCCTTGTAGCAATTGTCTAAAATGTAAATGCATCCTGGTGAATAACTTTGTTTGGCAAGCGAAGTACAGTTACAATAGCTTCCCGTTACTTACATGCCTATCCCGGTGGGCGGCAATGCATTGGCACGGATGTACCTATCAGGGTACCTAATCCTATAACACCGAATAAGAAAAAGTGGGATTCATCAAGTTATCATTTTACTAATATTGATAATTGTTGTCAAGTTATCAATTTAACATACATTGATTCACGCTTGAGATCAAGTTGCGAATATTGCAGACCTGACGAGGTTTCTTTGCCCTCCCTGGTACAGAGAAGTTGTCACTCACCCTCAACAGATGAGACCTGTTAGAGGTTTTGTGGCATCCGGCGGAGACAAAAAAAAAGTTCCCTCTTATTTAACAATAATCTCGCATTTGATGGCTCATAGTCATATAATCGAAAAAAATATTGTAATTTGTATGATCAAGATATCCCAGGAAGTGGACTTGAAATCAATCTTTGCAGCTCGCTCCCAGTTTTATCAATTTACTATTATACATTAATTATTTTCACGCTGACAATTTCCCCAATCCCCAGCACAGTGACATTGAAAGGTTGAATCAAGTTTTACCTTGACTCTAGTACAAGGAACAAATGTTTTAACTTTTAAGGCTCTGAATCTAATCTCACATTCGAAAGAAACGCAACGGTTAGGAAAACGGTGATACATTTCATACTATCACGGAGCAATCCATTGTTTGTGTACAGCACCTCAGGCCAAATGAAAGGTAAAGTGGTACTGTAGCGCATGCGATATATCAAACAATGATAAACACCATGAGTACTTCCCGTAACGCTCGCGGGCCCGGGGGCGCTTTTCACCCCCTCCTCCACCGAAGAATAGCTGTAATAGCTCCCAATGGCCTGGAGATATAGGAGCACCGCGAAACTTTCAGCACC